GGCGGCCATGTTCGTCAATAATGAACCCAAGGTACTTTATCGACTGCATGAAAAAGGTGCATTTCTCTCGGCGCACTTTGAAGCCATATTCTTGAATACGACTAACCACATAATCAAGGCGCTGCCACAATGCGTAGGGGGGTTGTGACCCATGACGATCAGATCGTCAGCAACGCCAGGGGCGTGCTTCAGCATCGTATCCATGGTCTGTTGAAATATGGCTGGACCTTTTTTGATACCGAACGGCAGTTGGGCATACTGGAACAGACCGCGGTGCGTATTGATCGTCAGAAATTCTCGGGATTCTTCCTCAAATTCAGCCTGAAGGTGAGCATCGGCCAAGTGAATCTTCGCGCGGAACATTTACCCCCATTCAGTTTCGCGAGCAACTCGTCTGGAAGAGACCGAGGGCATTGATTTGTATCCAGTGGAGCATTGAGACCGGTGGAGGAATCTGCATACAGTCAGCTGGTCCCGTTAGCCTTCTTCACCAACACGATCGCTGTGGCCCTAAAAACTGGTTTGGCACCGGGGAGGAGGCTCTTGCTTCTGTGCACCGTCCAAGTTGGTTGGCGAATATAGATACATTGCATTTTAGGAGGTCCTCGAGTGAACACTTCGCAATGTGAGTTGGTCCGAGGGCACCTCCGGCTACTACATGTGCGAGGTTTCGAATAGAGGTAATCGACTTTTTCAACAGATTTAGCTTGTCGATACAGTCCAGCTCGATGGGACCAAGTTTGCAGCATGACGTCACGTGACTTGCGGTTTTGAGTCATTGAAGCTTGTGGAGCAGTCAATTTCAGTTAACCACCAGAAGTTTCACATGCGGCTTATCAATTCGTTTCCACGTTCGTACCAAATTTTTGTGCCAGCTTGTGCGAAAGGTCAACTGCCTTCTGGTAGCGACGCCTATCGACTATCAAGTTTGAAGTTGGCCTCACCGTCCCAGACCAACCTTAGAAATTCCTACCAGATCAACAAAGTGAATCTCAAACAGTCCCACCTCGGTAGTTCTTCGAAGGAAGCGTTCTTCACAGAGAAGATGGTGAGTGATAAAGCCACGTCCGCAATGTCATTACTTATGAGTCATAGAGTAATGCGAGATCCCTCTGCACACAAGACAACAATATGAGCTCTCTAGCAAAGCACTGCGTTCTGGCACCTGTGCTCGATTTCATAAAATCGTTCACCAGTAACACCCTTCCGGCGCCTAATTGCCATGCCACCCGGAGGGCTGGGGTACTGCCAGCTTACCCAAGCCTAGACAGGAAAAGTCGAGAGGCAGAGGTCGGGTTCGAACCACGAACCTTCCGGTCAGTAAATTCGCGCTCTAACCACTTGGACCACCTCGCCCCCTTGATTCGATGAAATCGATGCTTCTTATCGATTTTTTAAAGTCAGTTAGACTGGCATATCCCATTTGTTGATACTAATGAAGTAAAACTATGCTATCAAGGAGATGGTAAGGTGTGCACTGCTGACGTCAATATCAACTTCATTCGCAATCGACTTTGGTTCAACAGTTGTTTTATTGCCCCACACCAGAGTGTTCTGAATACCAAATCCGGAGAGTGGGAAAAAAGCTGATGTGGAAGGTGATTCAACCAGATGTAATCGGATACCTCAGATGTGATGTGACCCGTCAGGGTACGGCAACTGCTGGTAGATGAGAAGAGACATGAGTCATTGCGTCCACGAGTATAAAGTCGTGACCAAGTTCGAAGAAGACACAAGTTCATGCTGTCATGTGAGCTCGCCTAATCGCCCTTGTGAGCAAATCACAGCCTGGAGCTGTTGTGACGTTTGGGTTGGAGGATAAAATTACCGAGACTCACTGCAATGTTCAGCGGCGAGGGCGAGCGAATAAGTAAGAAAACGACCGATCAGTTCTTCCGATTGTCTGACATATTCGGATAAGCTGCTCCACATGAACCGTGAGGACTGTGAAAAATGTGGTCGCTTGAAAAATCGTTCACTCCGGGCTAACAGGCCTGGAAAATGAAAAAAAACCGCACCGTGGAACGACTACTGACTTCACCCCCAAGTAGTAATGACCACATGCCTCTGAGAGTCAGCTGTAGTGTAGCACCCTTACGGTGCCTAGCTACCATGCCACCTGAAGGGTGCACGAGGGCTGGGATACTGCNAAGCCTAGACAGGGGAAGTCGAAGGGTGGAGGTCGGATACGAACCACGGATCTTCCGGTCAGTAAATTTGTGCTCTAACCACTTGGCCCTTCTCGCCTCTGGGAGAATTTCACCACTAACGAATATTCTGTCCTCTGACAGAGGCACTTCTCATACCTTGTATCGCGACTCGTTAATTCGATAAAACCATTGGTCCGAACTTGCTCCCGAATCGTCGAACCGTAGTTCACAGACTGTCCAAACGTTTATTCCCCGTGAAACGTTTCTGGAAATTTTAAAAGAGGATGCATCCCTTCTCATAAAATCTCGCAATACGATTAGTTTGATCAGTGAGGTGTTGGGGACACAAAATCGATTTAAATTCGAAAAGCTGAGGTAATTGATCCTCGCACTGAAGTTGTGCAAAGTGATGTCGTGGAACAGGCATGTACAAAACTTCGGAAGTAAGGTAGGCGACAGCGTTTTTCCGATTGGAATGGGGTATTTAACATATTCGGTTCATCCAGCGGAAGATGCCTTCCTAGTGTTCTATGCCTACCTGTGCGGACGCTGCAAATCCCAGACGTTTACACGCTTAAAATGGTGTCTAGTTCATTGTCAGATACACTTGTGGTAGGGCGGTTTTGAGCCATTCTGGAAGCATTTTCTCCCGGTTTGTCATAGAAAAACCACCAAATTCGACGCAACTAGTGAGTCAGTCAGTTCATCTATGCAGAATCAAGCAAAAGTGACGGGAGATGTAGCAAGGAAGGAAGGTTTTGTGGATACTGATGCCATCCTCTCTACAACGACCACGTGTGTTTTCTTGTGTGGAATCGACAGCCAAATGGATGATGGGCACAGGTTTCCTTCTAAAAGATGGAAACTGAGTGCATTTTCTTGGAATTCTTTGATATTCCGTTGAGTTTAGGTATTCTCCCAACAACCAGAGTGCATGTAGCATAAACGGAGAACGCACCTAGGGAGGGACATAAAACCCCGACCTCTTACTTACCGGACGGGCAATTCAAGTTACCGAAATCTGTCACTGTCCGTTGTAGTCATACACTTGAACTGCACAGCCATTTCGCCAAAACTCCCGGATGTAGATCACGTGACAGTCGATCTGTTCGCTGAGCTAAGTAATCAGCTTTTAGAAGTTCCGGTACCGGGAAGATATCCTCAGTGCGTGGTTGGCTGGGTGGGTGTTTTCATCAGGGTCGTTTGCGTTTATATACTTTCCAAAGTGCATTCGATATCTCCAAAAGTGTTGTTTTGTTAACCTCACTTAGAATCTGATTTACATGTTTGTTGGACTAGCCGGATGTCTTCATTTCAGTAGTTTTTGTTATCGCCCCGATTGGTCCGTTCGCCTTTGTGTCCGCCTTCTGTCCGCCTTCCTGCCATCTGATTGGTTGTCTTCCTTTTTTGTATTTTTCATTCGTT